AGTCGAGAAAGCAACTAAAAACTGGTAGGTAAGGCGAGCTGGGTTAAAGGAATGACAAATGCTCAAACGAATAACAGTCGATTTAGATATACCATTGTTCTCATTCCTAAAAGTTTGATTGAAAAGTTCTCACATGTGCGTAAAACCTCCTACGATCACCCCATCCTCGCATCATTAAAAGGCTTATACGCTCCTGTTCAGTAAGCATTATAAAGTATTTTAAATAAATACTTTATAAACAAAGATAACTATGTGGCGATAAGCAATCTCAGAACGGAGTATCACGAAAAAGTATACCTTCTCAATCGCAGGTCACAGGAAGAGTGAACTTGACAAGAGAGATTTCTAGCTTATGTAGTCTCCAGCTTTGTTGAAAGGGTGGGAAGAAGGGAGAGGGGATGGAAAGGAATAGGAGGGAAGGGGGAGAGAAGGAAAGGGTCGAAGGGAGAAGGAGATAGAGATACAGACATTCGCGGGCCCATACATGACTCATAAATCCAGTCGGGCAATTTCTATGTAATACCTTAGATAATGCTAATACCGGCGCTTTCGTAACTTTCAACTCTCATAACTTGGAAAGTATTCATTAAAAAGAGGCTTTATTATAGTGTTTTGGAAAGCTCTCGACCTCAACTATTAGATTCTAAAATCAAAAATAGATTGTTTCGTTTAAAAAAATCGATTTGACCTTGACTTAACCTTGATGAAGCCATGCAAGGTCAAATTGATAAGGTCAGTCAATAGATCATTTTCAACCCTACAACCTTTATATAAAACATTTTTCTCAAAAATGATTACTTTTCAAGATATTTAAGGGGTCCGGGACTTTTTCTACACCCTGTATATATGTACACTACGCGACAAAATTATCGCAACAAAATTTTTCATCGAAATTTTGCTATTTTTCAAATGCGCATAATTCGGTCAATTTTCAACGTATCAAGACGATTTTTTTTCATTTTGTAGGTAATTATCTGTTTTAAGGAATCTACTTTAAGAAAAACTTGATGCGAAATTAGGTGCAAGTCGATGCCGCATGTTTTGATAAAGTATAAACATTTTTTTTTCTTAAAAAATTTGATTGTTTGACGCGCTACCTGGATCGCCCCGATTTTTTTTCGAAAATACCACATAGACCACATTGTAAAGTGCAACAAACAATTTGAAAAAAAATTCGAGTCTCTACGATTTTTTTTGACCGAGTAATACCATTTTGAAGTTATTCGGGCGTTTTTAACGAATACCGCCAGCATTAGCATTACCCGATACGTACCGCGAGGAGGTTGCTGGTCGGACTTTACGCATCATTTTGGCCCTGAAAAGGGCCGATTATGTAAACCATTTGTCAAATTAGGGACCCCGTGGCCCCCGCTCGTCATTCCACAGTATTTTCTGACTCCACATCCTATTTGCCTAATGCCAAAGCGGTCAAGTGTTAGAGGCATTCAATACCGTGTATTGCCACCTCGGCGTCGGATAACTTCTCCTAAACGTTCTTGCATATTAATGCATGCTCTGATTGAATCTTGAGGTATCTCGTGCCAGATTTCATGTAGAGCTCTCTCAAGCTCTTGCAGATTAGCAGGAGGCCTCTCCAAGTTATGTAATTTTTAGTAAGAAAATAAAATATCCTGTGCTTTTCTGTATTTTTTTATTAGTACTTACTCTGCATAATAAAATTAATGTTCAATACGGATCCTTCCCTATAATGAGGTTTCGGCATTTGACTCTATCGCGATATTCATTAAAAACGCCCGAATAACTTTAAAATGGCATTACTCGGTCAAAAAAAATCGTAGACTCGAATTTTTTTTCAAATTGTTTGTTGAAAAGTGCACTTTACAATGGTCTATGTGGTATTTTCGAAAAAAAATCGGGGCGATCCAGGTAGCGCGTCAAACAATCAAATTTTTTAAGAAAAAAAATGCTTGGACTTTATCAAAACATGCGGCATCGACTTGCACCTAATTTCGCCTCAAGTTTTTCTTAAAGTACAGATAATTATCTACAAAATGAAAAAAAAGTCGTCTTGATACGATGAAAATTGACCGAGTTATGCGCATTTGAAAAATAGCAAAATTTCGATGAAAAATTTTGTTGCGATAATTTTGTTGCGTAGTGTATATATGTATATACTATATAATATGTATATATAAAATTGTGAATTTAAAAATACATGAAAAATACATTTTTTAAATTATAATTTTAAAAACGTTTCCAGTGAAACGTTTCTTATTGATGTTTAACGGTTATAAAACATTGGATGTTTAAGAAACGTATATAAAACATATATACGTGTACTACCTGGACGATTACCGAATTTAATCGAAATCCATAGTGCAGACTTTTTTAATTCCAAATTCGATAATAGTGACATCTTTTATTCATTTCTTACATTATATTATATATCGTTCTGGCTTATTCAAACGTATACATTTGTCCTTATCTAACATATGCCAGCACTATCTATGGCAAGACTGCGCAACTACTACTACATGGAATTTCAGTTCTATTGATGTCGGAATTCTATTCCGAGTCCTTGCAAAGCACGTAATTACGTTTTAGGAGAAATATTTTTTTCTACGTTTTGAATCTTGATTCTGCAAACTTAATAGTGTTTGTTCAAGTAAGTTGAATCCCGCTGGATTCTTATTTTCAATTTACAAGCTGTAAAACTTTTATATCAAGCAAATATTAACCTCAAGTGACAGTTTTACATGCCAGAAAAAGTAAATTTTCTAATTTTTTTCCGATTTTCTTGTGAAATCGTGTTTTCCGAGACTTCTTTTTATGCGTTTTTTAATTCTATAAAAAAAATTTTGCAATCCGTGAAGCTAAGTCGGAGATTTCTCCTAAAACGTAATTGTGGTAAAACAGGACGCCTTTAGAATCCCCTTAAAAAATATAGTCCGATTAATGTGAAAAAATGATCAAATTTCGAGTTCAAGATCGATTTTAGCAAGGTTCCAAGTTTTCAAATGGGTCGTTACTCCCTTCAAATTGTAAGTCTATTCACCCAGAACAAGATCCAGTTGGAATTTTCTCGAAAACTCTTAGAGAGCCTTTAAAAGTTGCACTTAACTGGATTATAAAACGTTTTTAAGAATAGAAAAAATATTTTTATAAATTTTAAAGTATATCGCTTTGTGATTTTGACATCCTCAAATCAAATGTCTCATTTTGACGTTCAAATGCCTCAATTTGACGATGAAAAACTCTTTATTAGGTAATGAAATGAGTGCATAATACAAAAAAATATGATTTAATTAAAAGAAACTACATATTATGTAGTATATTTTTTTTATTATGTATTCATTTCATTTCCTAAGAAAGAGTTTTTATTGTCAAATTGAGGAATTTGATTTGAGTATGTTAAAATATATTATACTTTACAATATATTATGCAATAAAATATATATAATATATAAATATATATTATACAATATGATATACTTTAGAACTTGTAAAAAAAATTTTTCTATTCTTAAAAACGTTTTATAATCCAATTAAATACAACTTTTAAAGGATGGGGAAGTCTCGGGAAAATAAATCTTGTTCTGGGTGAACAGACCTACTATTTGAAGGGAATAACAACTCATTTGAACGCTTGGAACCTTGTTAAAATCGACCTTGAACTCGAGATTTGGTCATTTTGTACATTAATCAGACTGTATTTTTTAAGGCGTACGAGTATATCGTAGAACTAAATGAATTATTGCATCGTGTTCAGCGACTAAGAAAACATACAGTACGACATTTAAAATCCGAATTGAGCAATTTTTGCATCAAATCAAATATGTATTAAGAAAAATCGAAACTTTGATTTAAAAATCGTTCTACTAGCGACCTCTAAATCTTAATATTTTTTAATAAAAATTTAGGGGTGTTCTTTTAGCATAAAATAAAAGCTTCTGAGTTGAGAGGCGATTTAAAAAAAATTTTTTTTCTTGTCAGTCTAATGTATAGATATAGTATACATACACGGAAAAAAAAGATATAATTCACATAACACTAAAAATATTTAGTTGTGAGCAATGTAGAAACATCATCCGAGTTATCTTTATGTGATAGGAATGTATATCGTTGATATGATTTATTTACTTTGATGTGTCAACTACATCAATGTAATTAGGCGCGATCTGGTTGTGACATCCAAAACTTGGTTCGGGAATCATTTACTACGGATAAATTATATATGCGTATAGTTGTGTCAATCGTGACATTATAAAGCATGATGTATAATAATAAGAATTAAATTATTAATAAGAATTTCTTGTTACATCATGCTATAAATTAAGTTGCAATTTCAAAAAGCAAAAGTGACTCACCACGTTTACAATTAAAAATACATATATGGTATGTGAAATGCCGTCATTATTGCAACATAATCTAATCTAACCTCGGTACTATGGTTCAAGCAATCACATAAATAGTTGCTCCATATTTTACTATTTAATTTGGTTGGCATCACCAGATTTCTGTGCAGACCAACCATACTGTTTTTTTCATGTACACACACACACACACACACACGCACGCACGCACGCACGCACGCACGCACGCACACACACACACACACTAAATACATATAATATATTTAGAATATCATATAATGGTTATCAAAAATTATTAAAAATACGTTAATTGTTAATAGTTAAAATTATGACGTGTAATTAAAATATAATTTAATTAAGATGCAATTGTTATAATTAATACGTAAGTAAACATATACGTATTTGTAAGTAAATATATATGTACTTATAATAACACATATTGCTCATTTGTAATTTATGCAAGACACCAAACAACGTTTTAAATAAAAATTAAATATCAAATCCCTTATCTAAATGTACTACATTTTAATTAATGAAAGTAAATTATTTTTGTAATGTTTCTTTGAAAATAATGATTCTAGAATAATATATTAAAATAAATGTTATTTACATCGAAATACACAAGAATTTCTAAGATTTAAGATATATATCGTAGCGGAAAGATGCTCCTGGAAATCGTACCATCACCGCTCAATTTTTCCGTTTAACAAATAATTTAATTCAGCATTTCCGTGCCGTATGGTCTTCGAGATTTATCGGAGCCGAATGACGATGCATTAGTGCGATAGAAGAGTACGAAAACGAGATAAGGGTAACAAAACGAGGATGGAAAATTGAGAGGAAGCGTTGACTAACCCTTCGTCTTTAAGAAGTTCTCCTTCTTCTCCCTTCTTCCTACCCCCTTCCTCATTTCCTTCTCCAACAAGGCTTCTCAAGATGCGATAACGAATCAATTGAGATCTGAATCGAGCCTGAATTCAGATAAGTAGTACCAAGACACCAACTGTATAGATAAGAAATTGCGATAGGAATAACGAGGATTCGAGAATTGGTCTGTCAATCAATCTACTCGTTAAGTCTCTCCACGCTTAATGATTACTACAGTTAAGAAAGGATTGACGAAACGATAATTCAAAAACAATCTTTCACTGGGAAAAACATATTGAAATTGAAACATTATTTTGTGCTATCAATTTTTCAATCAATTTTCAATTAATAAACAAAACTGTTTGAAACTTGGTTTAAATATGAAAACTGAAACAAATAATTCAACATTTCGAAATCCCCTGTAGTAAAGTGAATTATTCTGATCAGCATAAAGAATGAATTATTTTGTCGTCAGTTGCAGGATATCTCTGAGACGTATCACAATTCTGGACACAAATTCTTGAAGAATCGGCTGTCGCGCTTTGCCAACGTCCATCACTTCCTCATGGTTTGCTTCGTAGTGATCTTCGTAGTCAGTAACACATTGGTTAGTGATTAAACTGAACGTGAACACGGTGAGATCGCAATGCCGGGCGGTGATCACCTCATGAACCGTGGACATGCCTAAATAGTAATCACATGTCACTATACATATATGAAACTGTCTATACACAGAGAGAAAATATATAATGTGATGAAATATAATTTAAACACAAATAAATATAGATGCAGTTCGTAATGCAAGGAAGAATAAAATGTAAACAAAGTTAAGAAAAGAATCAAAATAGTCTCTAAATAAGATAGAATGCAATCATTTACCAGCAATGACGAAACTAATGTAGTAGTCACTATCTAATTGTTATACATGTAATGAAATTATTATATAAAGTAAAATGTTATCTTCTTAATTACATAGGCCTACAAAATTTAGGGGAGATTTTGTGCTTTGAACTTTGAAAGGAACAAAACTTGTTTCCGTAGGATTTTGATGCGCTGAAAACGACTACGTTATTCGTTTTTTTCCATCACACTCCATTTTTTAAATAATCGCAAAAACAGTTTTTTTGGAAGTAACTTTTTTATTAATTTTTTTCGGCTAAACAAAAAATAATATTGAAGTCTGTTTTGCGGCATTTAATTCAGAAATGTTCCAACAACTAAAAATATTTTTTCGGTGCTTATAGAAATGTTTTATGCAAACCGCAAACAAAAAACTTTGGAAAAATTATAGGAAACCGGAAACAATTGACAAATTTTGAAATATAAAACCAAATAATTCGAAAGAAAAAATCGTGAAAAATACTATCTGACAATTTATATTTATAGCTGTATGTTTCTAGTTTAAATCCTTTTTTGTAAAACTAATTCCCGACCATTTGTGTTCAAGTTACCCTTATTATAATAAGGTGATACCTTCATGTGATACAGGATGGGTAACGCTAAACTCACCATTCCGTGTACATTTACTATTCATCATCATTGGATCTGATATTTTCAATTCAACAATTGTTGATTACAGTAGTAATCAGAGACTTACAAAACCATCAAATATCGATTTTCATGCAAATCGTCCGGATTTTTTTAAAATTATTGTCCATATTGGATCCGCCATTTTTTGGAATTGCACATTTTTTTACTTCAGATTTTAAATCAGTGACCAAAAAGACTACACAACATGCTCTTGTATTCGGTAGCTGTAGGTTTGTTCGCGTCGCAAGCTCCAACATGCTCCAATATGCTCCTACCATAGCTCTTATTCACTCTACCAAGCGCTTTGGAGTGAATAAGAGCATATTGGAACATGTTGGAGCATGCGACGCGAACAAACCTCTAGTAGCTGCGTTCGGCAATGTAAATCTGAGATGCGAGCTAGCAGATGGTGAGCTTGATCACGTGATCTTCGAACAAACCGAGTCCCAAAAATTAATTCTGGACGCATCCGAACGATACAGAGCTGTCATTTAACGTCATTTAAGATTATAGCAAATGTTTAGAAGATCCCGGCCGCCTCAAATTTCGATAAAAATGCACTCAATCGGTGCGTTTTCGCGTAAAAATAAAGATTTAACAAGAAAAAAAGTGTCGTTCCGCCCTGGGAATTGAGATATTAATCATTAAAGTCGACAACTATTCAGGTTAGGAAATCTGTCACAGCAGTGATTCACTGTTTTAAAAACAAATTCACTGTTTTAGCAGAGTTTTATTTTTAATGCAGACAATTTGTAGCGTTACTTATGAGTAACCTATTTCAACTGCGTGGAAGAGATTCGGGTGAAACTTAGCGAACGCGTGCGCCGACCAGGGGGTCGATTGTGTAACTCGAAATGAGGTGAAAATTACAAAAGTGAGCAAATTCACTAGAATATTCATCATTTAATTGATCAATAACTAGTGAATTTGCTCACTTTTGTAATTTTCACCTCATTTCAAGATACACAATCGATTCCCAGGACCTCTGAAAAGGTTATGAATTCAATTTAGGCGTGAAAACTTGCATTAGCTCCACGAGCTCGATCTTTGAATCCAGAGTGGATTGAGGAGCTCGATTAGCTCTAGAAATGTTAATATCGAACGCAGATGAGATGACATGTAGCAGAAAGATACGAGTTGCCGAACGATTTGCGAGGTGAAAGAGCAAACGGATGCCTCCGATTTGCAATGCCGAACGCACCTACTGTCAGACTCGAGAGGATATCGTGGACTGTAAGTGACGCGCGGGCTGCTTTGACGCTTTAAATTCAATAACTTCTGAACAAATGGTCAGGAATTAGTTTTTCAAAAAAGGATTTAAACTAGAAGCATACAGCTATAAGTATAAATTGTCAGATGTTTTTTACGATTTTTTCTTTCGAATTATTCGGTTTTATATTTCAAAATTTGTCAGTTGTTTCCAGTTTTTTATGATTTTTCCAAAGTCTTTTGTTTGCGGTTTGCATAAAACATTTTTATATAAGCATTGGAAAAATATTTTAACTCAGAAATGTTCCAACAAGTATTGTTGGAACATTTCTGAGTTAAATGTCGCAAAACAGAACTCGATATCATTTTTTGTTTAAAAAATGTTACCGGAAAAAATTAATAAAAAGTTACTGCCGAAAAAAACTGTTTTTGCAATTATTTAAAAAATGAAGAGTGATGAAGAAAAACGGACAACATAGTCGTTTTCAGCGCATCAAAATCTTACGGAAACATCTTTCAAAGTTCAAAGCACAAGACCCCCCCTTAAATTCTGTCGGCCTGTGTTATCAATAATTATATACACATACTTAAAAATATTTACATATTACTTTCAACCGCGATCCAGAATAAATGTATAAAATTTTTCATAATTTTTGTTATTTTAAAATATATATGATATATATCTTTAAAAACCCGTTTTTTAAATCGTTTAACACTTTTATAAAAGGACTAATTTTGTCATAAAGATCATTTCGCGTTATCTCACATTCAGTTTATTCTATTTTAATTACACCATCACGACGTCATACAGACAAATGGATGCATAATTGCAAAGTAAATTAAATCTATTTCAAGCTGTTTGTAAAAACAAAAATTTAATTGCTTATCTGTGAATCAGCACACATGTAATATATGAAATCAAACATCATTGCGACTATAATAATTAATATTTCTAACAGAATTTTGTACTGTATTGACAATTATTGATATTTTTATTTATTTAGAGCATTAAGTGTCATAGCGACAACGAAATCGGTATAATTCCATACTTTTCGATTTAAATATAGATATAATACGTTTCTTCAACAAAATTAATCATTTTGTCCCCACTGGAGTCATGTGACTAAACCGCTTATTTAGAATTTTGAAATAAAGTATTCCAGCAAACACATGCATCAACTAAATTGTAACTAAATTGAAAAGTATAACTGTTAGTTATAATTTTCCCCTCGACAATACGTATAGCTACACTCAGAGAAAAAAGTCATATCAGTAACTATAAATTTGTAGTGAAATAGCCCCTCACAACTATATACATATTATTAAATTCTAATAAGAATACTAGATTAAGTGAACTAAGAAAATATAGTACATTAACCATATAAACAATTTATAAATGGTTAATATTACTATATTTTCTTAGTTCACTTAATTTACTTATTGTTCTTATTAAAGCTTTATAATACATAGTTACAAATTTGTGTATGCATTTCTTATTTATTTTTGTCTTCCAAGTTTGAAACCAACGCTGCGCCTTTTATTGTAAGCTGAGTGGTTTCCTTCTTAGGAGAAACTGAACTCCGCTACGTCCCTCTGGTGACAAAGCCGCGTACTACTCGTACTGAGCGATACTTTAAAAATTTTTGTCTAAACTAGAAAAATGTAATTGTTATATCTATTTGCATGAAGTCCAAGTAACTACTCAATGTAGTTGAGTCACTATTTCACTACCAATTAATAGTGCATACAATTTGTTACCGTGACTATATTTTTATAATATTCAGCACTACTTTAATTTCTATTACTTTGTAAAACTAGTTACAGGTACTTCAATTGCAAAAGTTGCCAAATTTATAGTTGCTGGAACTATTTCGTTTTCTCTCAATGTACCCAGCAAACATAGAATATGACATGTATAATTGTATATACATATAATTGCTATGTATAACTGTTATCTAATTATTGTAACTGTTATAACATTATACAGGGTGTCCCATTTTAATTGTCCACCCCAAATAACTTTCTTATTTTTGATTTTAGAGAAAAATGTTTCAGACAAAAATTGTATGGTTTCGAGGGGGTCACAAGATGGTACCATTGGTTTGACCTTGGATAATCATTTGAAAATTACATGAAGGTCACCTTCAATTTCTTAAATGGAACATACCATTTTTCATTACATATTCTCGTAGCTTATCTCGAGAGCTTTCCAAAACACTACAATAAAATATTTTTCTATTGCGTATTTTCCGAGTTATAAAGCTTTAAGTTTGCGGTATCCTTTCTAAAAAAAAGGAGATGTTAAATCGATACTCGAATGTATCGAAGTTTATTGTTGTCGCTTTTCCGCGATGCTGATTGGTTCTCTCGCTGCGTTTACTTCACGAGTATCTGTCATTGCCAAAATTCAGCGTAGACTTGAATTATGCATACAAGTAAATGGCCAAGTTTTTGAACACCTAAAGTAATTGTACAAAATCTCATCTTGCCTTGACTGGCTGGATCATGTAAGATAAGACTACAGGAAAGCGAATTTGTATTTTTATTAAAACTAGAACATAACAGGCGCGCGCTTCGCGCGCGCTACTAAGCTTTTAACATTTATGCAGGATGTTTTCAAATACGGAACTGTCAAAACACACAATTTTGGCAATGACAGATACTCGTGAAGTAAACGCAGCGAGAGAACCAATCAGCGGAAAAGCGACAACAATAAACTTCGATACATTCGAGTATCGATTTAACATCTCCTTTTTTTTAGAAAGGATACCACAAACTTAAAGCTTTATAACTCGGAAAATACGCAATAGAAAAATATTTTATTGTAGTGTTTTGGAAAGCTCTCGAGATAAGCTACGAGAATATGTAATGAAAAATGGTATGTTCCATTTAAGAAATTGAAGGTGACCTTCATGTAATTTTCAAATGATTATCCAAGGTCAAACCAATAGTACCATCTTGTGACCCCCTCGAAACCATACAATTTTTGTCTGAAACATTTTTCTCTAAAATCAAAAATAAGAAAGATATTTGGGGTGGACAATTAAAATGGGACACCCTGTATAATTATTATATTCTGTTCTTGCTGAGTATTATATGTTATATATTACAGTTATACATGTAGGTAATTATATCGTTGAATGGGCAATTATAACTAACTGTTACATTGTTATGTTTATTAGTTGCTGTTTGAGAAGATTACTATTGTCTACATTTTCTGTAAATATCATATTATCATCTTTACAGTCTTCTATAAATGCAGGTTGTAAAAAGATCACTCTTATATCAAGATAACAAATATCTTAAGGTATATTTTTACACTTCTCTGTAAAATTCGGTGAAAAGATCTTGTAGCTGTTGCTATTACAGTCCGATGATAATAAAGGAATTTAGTAATTTGCTAAAACTGTAACTTCCTGGAAATATTCTAGACAGACTTATCAAAAAGAAAAAAACGACTTTTAACACTTGCATTGCGATACAAATTGTTACACACAGTTACAATAAAAATAAACGTAGAAAAGTCCTTAAACGTTTTCAAAAAGTCAAAACGTTTTTATAAATCGCTTGTCGTTTAATATGTACAAAATAACAAACAAATATTTTTCCTGTGTTAATAAATAATTTCCGAATAAAAAGATTTAAAAATCATATCAGTGATGATAAACAATACAAGCAAATAATATGCGTTTAATACACTTGGCTCGATTAATTGAAAAAAATTAAATGACGTACCAACTGCGTCGACGCCGATCATTCGCAACATCTTCAACTCTGCCACTGTCTCGAAATTAGGTCCACCCAAACACGTGTAAACTCCCTTATGTACAATATCGCCAATACCCATCTCTTCAGCTACTTGTCTACCGATCTCCATCAGCGTGGCGTCATAGGCTTTATTCATAGGAGGAAATCGGGGCCCAAACCTGAGAAATAAAGAAACAAATGTGCTAAAAACAAAAGACTTTCAAATTAATAAATAATAAATATTATAATAATTGGATAAAGTAAAATTCTTGTTTTTTATATTCCAAATAAATATTTCAGACGTTTATTTTATTTTATTTTCTGTCTTTCTTAAAAAAGAAGAAATAATACATTTTCCCGATTCGTCGTAGGTACAAACATTATGTTAATTTAAGTACATTGTATACGTATATTGGTAAAAAAAAAAAAGAAATTAGAGTTCGTATAGAGTGCGAATCCCACCTATCATCATTTGGTCCTTGAAGTGGATTGTTACCGGCAAAACCCATCATATTCACATGATCCTTCACTATCATGATATCACCTACTTTGTAGGTGGGATTTAGACCGCCGGCCGCGTTCGTAGCAATTAAATGTGTCACACCCACCAGCTTCATCACTCTTACTGGCATGGCACACTACAAATAACCGCCTTTATCATAAATCTCAATAAACATGTTTTACATTTGTTTTATCTGGAATGAGATCAGGAAACACGGTAGTATATGGTATAGTGTCTCGGGTGTCAAGTCAGTCACTGCGATTAGACTCCCGAGACCGGACCGTGTATTGTAATTACTAAAGCCAATTATACCTTCCAAAGTGGATAACCTTCGTAATAATGAAATCTGCCTTGCATGCACATGACTGGTACACCTTGAAGATAACCAAAGACCATCTGACCGGTATGTCCTTTTACCGTAGATATCGGGAAATGTGGGATTTCTTCATAGGGGAAGCATTGCTTGTCCACGAGGGATTCCGCGATCGAACCTGGACACAACTCGTTTTGCTCATATGATCCTGTTTAGGAATAAACAAAGCTATGATAGGATAAACCGATACCCGGAAATCCCGCAAAGCCGTTTAGCACTGTTTGAAGCAACATACACACACTCACATAAATTGTTGTTAAACCCATTTTAATTTTATCTTCAATTACATCTTTTCAGGAACCTTATTGTGTAGAAGAATTATTATTAGACGCTATCAGAAAAATTTTGGAAGAATTATTTCTACTCTTTTTAAATTACTCAAAGAATAAAATGAGTGATAATATTGTGTTACTCTGGTATTTAAAAAATCTATGAAGATCTTCTAATATATCTATCTTGCAGTGATGGGTAAGATACTCTAAAAATTTATCTAGATACAGATACAGTTACATGTACAAAAATTTATCTAAATACAGATATAGATACACATATTAAAATATATATAGGTATAGATATCAGATATTAAAAGTATCTTCAGATACATTTTAGATACTCTTAAATTAATTTTATTGTAATAATGATAATGTGTAAAAAAATGTATTAGTTATTAAATGAATCATTTATTCATTCATTTTTGTTACATTTAGATAATTGAAAAAATTTATAGTTATCGTAAAACGATTTAGGATAAGAATTATAAGATGATATTATTCATCATTATTCATCATAGTTTTGCAAACTAAAAATGCTTCAAAAATTGTATTTCCTGCTTAACTATACATACGGTAGAAATTCCACAATCTAAAGTCACTGGCTGCGTCTTCAGCAGAAGAAGCAGTTGTGTAACTGTAAAATTCTTTAATATGATTGATTTGCATTTAGATTCAGTGAGAAACAAAGGGAAAGACCAATCATGTTATAGAATTTTGCAACAGCAAAGCTGCTTTTTTTCTGCGGAATGGAATCAATCGACAATCACACATAAAATGGAATTATGATTATGATTATGCTGAGGAAATGTATCTGAAAAATGCATCGGAAAACCAGTTCAGATATTGTGTTTTTTAATCTAGATACAGATACAAATACTCGAATTCCTCTTCTTTTGAGGCCATAATCATTCTTGAGAAAAAGTAAATTAATTTGTTTGTGAGAAAATTCAAACACTTTATAATAACTCTATATTATAACGCGCGCGAGTAGTTTACTTAATCAAATATGGCTATTCGTACTTTGATCGTGATTAGCTTTCTTAGTATAATTAAAAGTTATTACATCACAAATATAAACAGGATCAAAATCAGCTGTGATTTTAGTGTGTCAGATGGCATGTGCAATTTAATGCAAAGCGATATTTGAGCAATATTTTATCGTGAAATCAAGACACGAAGTGTATGTACAGTATATATAAGCATAAATGTGGAATCATGACTAGGCAGACATTATTAATTTTATAGTAATATTCAAAAGATATTGTGCAAATAATAGCGTGCAAATGTCAAAGACACTACATTTCAAAATCGTTTATCACAATTTTATATCACAAAAAATTTATCTTTTTAACTACAATCTGTAAACACAAATCTTGGATAAATTAGTTTCGCATAAGCATATTAAAGAAACCGTGCATATTAAAGAAAATTATATATAAATATAGAATATTGCGTATCATTGTGATTTTTATAAAAATTCTTGAATAATGTCAAGTTAATCAATTTCTTACCAAAACTATATGTTTTATTATATCTCATATCGTTACTACTACAGCGCCAAGACAAGCGTGGACGACACTATATCAATTAAATTTTAAATAAATGTCTAATATCCGGTTGCACCAACGTTACTTTGACTTTAAGCGAGATTTAAAACTCTCTCTATCTTGTTTCAAAGTCGAAAAAGAGACAGAGACAAAGAGAGTTTTAAGCCTCGCTTAAAATCAAAGTAATGTTGGTGTAATCGGGCCTAAGATTCATAAATTTTCAAATACTTGAATCCACAAAGGAACTTTTTACATATTGATGTTATCGATTATGCAATTACTGATTTTACAATAATTAATTAATTGTGCCGACTTATGTCAATAATAAATAAATAAATATTATTTGACATCATACAATTATAAACGAATCATGTATACATACATAGTAAAGTTATACAAGAGAAAAAATGTACACATGCAATAATACTAACCCATTCCCGAACCGCATATAATCCCTATTTTCGGTCTAATCTTGATGCGATTCAATAAATATTGTGCTGATTCTTGTAATGTTTCAAAGGTATACCTGAAAGATATAATAATGTATATTATATTTAATATAATAAATGTTAAGGTTAGTGATTTGCTTCAAAAGCTTCAATTCGAACTTGAAAACAAATATATTTTCATAAAGAATATACAAATATATTTACGAATATACACTCTAAATCTGTGGCAATGAAAATTTCACTGCTTACAAAATTGAGTAGCAAAGTCATTATTTTAAGTATGGATTTTCACTGCTTTAGAGTTAATCTGTTTACTCTTAGGAAAGGAGTGAACTTTTTCACTCAATCAACTGAAGTGGTTTAAGCATTAGTTGATTATGACTGCTTTCCTTTTAAGAGACACAGTCGACACAAGTCGACACAAGTCGACACAAATGTCGTTCTATCTTTGTCACTCTCTGAATGTCAAGAAGGATAGAACGATGCTTGTGCCGACTTGTGTCGATTTGTGTCATCAAATGGAAAGCAATGAATGCAATGCAAGATGCATTGAATGTTACTACAAAGAGTGAATTTAGCACCGCTAGGTACGTTATGTCATTTGCTATGGTCGTTACGGGCGAGACGCATCTTGATTAATTATGCGTTGAAATGACATTCTGTTTATTCTATCCTCCTTTTGTCTATTTTAATCTTCACTACCACTTTGCAGTAAAATTGACTGACAGTAGCATTGGCTCAATTACCTCTAACGCCTACAATGAAATTTCAATTCAATGCAGTGAAATTTCACTGTTACAGATTTAGAGTGTAGGGGAAAGTGGGGGAACTGTGCGCAGCGGGTAATTGTGCGCATCCTGGTTTGATACTTTTCCAATGGATGAAGACATCACTGTGATGAAATTTTTACAAGAGATCGTCCTCTTAAGATATAACTACAAAAGATACGACGTAAATATATTGCTAAGAGAGAAATACAAAAGTGAAATTACATCTTTTCTTGTTACATTAACATTCAGAAAATAAGGTGGTAAGTTCGTATTTTTAATTTGTTTGTTTAAAGTTGCATACGTTATTAAAGTATGTTATTATATGCGTCTTTTGAGCTGTTATTTATTAAGTTATTTGGTTAAGAAATGTTGAAGTAATCGTATTTCATATCGAGTCAGGTCGCGGCGGACAACTGTGCGCAAGCGTTATGAACTGCGCACAATTATTCATCTTCCATATATTATATGACTAGCACTAATTTTTTCGTTTTTTCTTTGCATTATTATTTTATTTTGCCATTTCATTTTGCCAAAGTCTACACTGTTAAATCTATAATGTCAAATTTAACTTAACGTGAGTCGCCATTGGTCCTACTGAATCATGTCGTTATTTTATACTAAAACAATAGTTATATTTGACACTCTACAGTGTCAAATTGACACGTAGTGTCAAATTTAACTATCATTTTGGTAAAAAATAACGATGTATTTAGTAGAAGCAGTGGCGACTCACGTTAGGTTAAATTTAACACTATAGATTTAACAGCGTATTATTATTATTATATTACAATAGTTTTGTATTTTTGCTTAATATAATATAATATATATTTAAAATATATTTAATATACATTTATATTGCAATATAATAAATATAATAAATATATTTTTTTATTTCTCTTTGTCAACATTCCATAATTCATTCATTTCCTACAATTTTTGCTTTGTGCACAATTACCCAACCCATGTGCACAATTACGCGCGAGAAATTTTGTCGCTTTTCCGTTTTTTCCTTTTTGCCAAATATAATCTTATTGAATGAAAATCTGTTCGATATGAGGATACGTAATGATAGAAGAATGTTTATAGTTTCTATTTCCATACTTATATCGCTTTGAACACTTGGAAAATTATTCCAGGACAATTAAATTTCCCTTAGGTGCGCACAATTCACCCACTTTCCCCTATATTGCATTCGAAAAATGCAAATATTTTCCAAGTTTCAAAGCTTCAAAGGCACTTTAAACTTCGAAAGTCGGAGTTAATTTCGAAAATTCGAATTCTTTCAAATCTTCAAATTTTCCAAGTTGTCAAAAATAACAGCTCTACAATAAATATGAACACATAAAAAAATGTTCAACATGGATATTTACTTGATTTTCAAAATCAAGTAAATATCCATGTTTACTCGAATTATTCAAAATCGAGCAGATATCCATGTTGAATCTTTGTTATTATTTCTACACAATCGATAAAATTATAAATGAAATGTTAAAATGTATACATATATAATCATAATTTCGTTAACTTTCTAATATTCAGTCTTATTTAACTTTTGATCTTTGCTCTTATTATAAATCAACTAGCATAGACAAGCTGGGAGATAATAGGGTTGCGAAGTAACTCTCCCGCGATTGAACGTGGTCAGTCGCCTTCTCTCTGCATTGATATCACAGAGACATATTAAAGCGTATTACTCAACAGATTGGTACTGATTAAGCAGCCGTCGTACTCGTTGCTTTAGCTTACACTATCGCGCAGCTGTATTAAACGTTCCATCATAATTGCATATAATTGCATATCTAGGCTTTACGGTAATGACAACTATGGAGATCAACCACCACCAGGATAATTCATACAGTAGTTTCAAAAGTAGTTTTAAAAGTAGTTTTAAAAGAATATTGGAAGTACGATTATTTGATATGACGAGTTTATACATATAATATTTTATCATAATTACTGCAGTAGAAGGCAACGCGCATCATTTCCTCTTAGTTCACAAACACACACACACACACACACACACATTAAAGTTGTAATAATACAAATATACAGTATTATTAATGAAATAATCGGTCAAAATTTCTTATTGAGTTATACAAGATTTGTAATAAATATTTTATTATCGTCAATTTTCAAAGCAAAGTTTTCCAAAATCAGTTATTTTAAATGCGTACCTCGAATAAATAAATTAGACTCGAAAATCTTTATGCGGAAATATATTATTTTGGCACAAAACTATATGCGATTAAACACACATCAAATAAAATTAGTGTGCTCAGGGCACACTAATTACGCATACACGTCGTGAATACTGTTCCATTCACTCTATTAATTTTTATAGATCAATTGATATTGATCTTAATCTCACATCAAGTTTAAATTAAACGAAACTTGTTTCTCAACTTGTTACATAAATACTGCGCAGATTATACCAATTATTTTTAATTAAAATGAGATTTACATTCATTTATATTCATTTATATATTCATTTATATTTCCTTGTTTTCTTTTTGTCATAATGTCGCTTGACGTCGATTGAGTCAAAACGTTATATTCATGCGCATCATGGCTTAATAATTTTTATTATACATGACTTTTATTAAATATAAGTTTGTTAACTGAGTGTTCCTATCGTTGTCCACATTACATCATTGAGACAATATGAGGTATATATGTTTTATTTAATTTACATTCTCTCTAATCTAATTTACTAAACATGTACATCGTTTATCTAACTTATAACGCAACGTTAATTTATTATTTATTCAGATGGTAGAATTGCGATAAGTGAGTTTTGATCTCTTCAATAGTTTTAAATATGGACTGCTTTTTATGAATATAATCAGATTCTCACTGGACAATATATTTTAACTAAATTTCTGATTATGTATGTAAGATGTTTTGTTATTGTACATTGAAAATGACCCGATCGGTGTCGAAACGTTTGATTATTGTATATATATACGTTTATTAAAGATCTTATATTGTAGTTGGCTCGTTTGCCCTTGTTTTATTTATTGATTTATTCTAATTGAGCCATATTAACATTTAATTATATTCATTTATATCATACATATTAATTATTCCTTAGAAAAAAGTTTCGAACGAATAGACCTGATTTTTCTTCCGGGTACAATTCTAGATAAAATAACGAGCTTAACAAATTCAGAAACAAGTCCGTCGTGTAATAAGAATCAATAACAGTTAATCTATGAAATAATCAAATACCTGCAGTTATAATCTATGAATTAATAGAGTGAATATGTAACAGTATGCACAAACGTATACGTAATTATGCTCCTGAGCACACTAATTTTATTTATTTCGATGCAAATATGCATTTAATCGTGTATAACGTAATGCAATAATAATATTTCCGTAAATAAAGATTTTCAAATTTAATTAATTTAAAATAACTTTAGGAAGCTTATGCAAAAATTGAAATATTTACTACAAATCTTATGTAACTCAATAAAAAATTTTAACCTATTGTTTTATTAGTATAATAACATTGTTAAAATTTAAATTAATATAACTTTAATATAATTGTAAATATATTTGAAAAATATGTTATGTGTATATGTATGCGCGCCCGCGTGTGTGTGTGTGTGTGTGTGTGTGTGTGTGTGTGTGTGTGTGTGAAAGTATGTGTAGGTAGATGAGTATGTGAACTAAGAGAAAATGACGCACAGCGCATATCTTAATCGCATAGGTCTATCAGGACCTGAACAAACAATAGGGTACGCCTGATAAGAATTGATTTGTATGATCTTTACTGACGCCTGAACAGGAAATGACTACACTGTTAGAAATGTGACCACGAGCTTCCTTTACATGTAAATGAAGCTGGTGGTTATAAACGAAATTAAAAGTAATGATTGATTTATAATATTTAAATGTAATGAACGTGTACACTAAATTTCATAAATTTTCATGAAAAATACATTAAATTTCATATACAATACATGTACACAAATATACTTTTCAGTTATAAATACATTAAATTTAATGTAATGTCATGAAATTAAGTTCAAATTGTGTAAATTAAAAGTATATTAAATTTCATGAAATTTTTAACAGTGTAGGCGCGCCTGACAAGAACTGTCTGATATAACTCAATCCCCGGCAGGACCTGAATAGGGGCATGAATAGACTGTGTGATAAGAACGTGATCTTTCGATCCTATCAGGTGTTTACTGTCGGAATATTGTGTTATATTCCTGATATATTAGGGATAATCTGCTAGAGGCCTTAATCACACCCTGATTCAATTTCTACTCGGGTTGTTGCTTTCTACTACAGTAATTATGATAAAATATTAAATATTAATAGAAAAATATACTTGCAAGGTTAAGATAAATAGCTATATCGTGCTTTGCCATTCTCTTTTCAAATTATTTTATACACAGTTTTTCTCAAAGATTCGAATCTTTTGAATATCAAATTCCTTGATTTATGAATTGTTAAACTATGCTCGTAAAATTGTTAAATTCTTTAAGATTTTTCCAATGTAAAATTTTTACATTTTTTTAAATATTTGAATAGTTGAACTTTAGACTTTAATTAGCTTTAGACTTGATCTTTTACCTTGAATCTCAAAAATTTTCGTAATGTATCGTATTTTGAAATTACGAACGTATTAAAATGGTCAAATGGCCGCAAGTTTGAATTATTACATTCAAGTTGTTATTATATGTGCGCGTGAAAAGAAAAGATTAGTTGCCACAGCTAAAATTAGGTATGGCAGCTAAATTCAGTAGTATTATATGGATACCTAACGTCGTATCTGCGAGGTCTAATTTCCATTAGTTGTGAGGCCTAAATATTATCATTGTAACAGACAAGCATTTTGCTATTATGTCGATGTATTGATCATTGCAACAAACGTTTTCTGTGTAACAGACAATTTGGTAGCAAGTACAGTTTCAGCAAACCATATTTAGCTGTAATAGAGACAATTTTCTTTTACACGGCATATCCAATAACTATGATAACTAACTTCATATTGCTAAATAAATCGATCTGTAACAGACATGCATATTTTGCTATAACTTCCTTATATTAGTTACAGCAGCAAGTCCTTTGTATGTATTAACAAATTTCATAGCTATAGTAGCTAATGCAATTTCAGTTAATCAGAATTAGCTATAACCAGAAACATTTGTTTTTCCGTGCGCGCTCGTTCACTTCAATTCACGGAAATTTTGCGTGTGTATACACGATAGCTGAGTTTTGTGTGAATCTGGCATACACGGTGTAACTAAAATATCAAAAGAGAAAAGAAGGCACAGACAAAAAATATATTTATTATAACTATATCTACAAGTACACATTATTTACGCTTGTGAAAATATGTCATTTTATTAGAAAAAAAAGAAATTCAATTTTTAAAAATTGAAGAATGTCAGCTTCTTTGTGTCTATCCTTAAGGATGTATTAGACGTACAGTCCCTGCAAAGAAAATTAAATTTGGAAGTATGTTTAATAATTAGACTTTAAATAAACTGTATACATATGAAAGTTGTATGAATAAGACTATATTTTTGTTTAATACATTTTTGTAGTTTATTTATTTTATTTGTTATTATTTTTATTGTTAAAAATTAAAATTTTAAAAATGATTTAAAAAATTTACATTTTTCTTTTATAAGAACTTTAAATATTTAAAATAATTTATGCAAAGTTTCATTGTGATTCATTGATTAATTACAAAGATATAGAACAAATAAATATTTTGTTTATTTATTGGAAATCTAGTCCATGCATAGCAATGTAACACTACGTAAATAATATTGAATTTATAATGTACTTATATTAAAAAATTGAGATTTTTATCATTCATTTTACATATCATTTATTACATTATCATTTATTGTACATTTCCATATATTTTTATTAGAGCACAGATTTAAAAAATATTACTATTTATTAAAATAACTTATGATCCAGATAGTAAACCGTCACCAAATTTGTCGTATTATTTTTAAACGTGACTTAGAATAATCTGTAATTTTTTCATAGTTTTGTTATCATTTTGAAAATATGTATAAAACATCCTTAAACATTAAAGGCAAAAAAAATACTGTACTCTATTTTATTCTTTTTTGCTGCTTCTTTTTGTTATTAATCTTTCATTTATAACATTATTATTATATTTGCTATTATTCGTTGGATGTGTAGTATAACTCACTTAGAATCTATCTCTTTAATCCATTCTATGTGTGTGGCAAACGTACCTACACTACATTAAATAAAACTGTGAAAAATGTAAAAATTGCGGTTTGCAGAGAAAATTTTTCCAATACCTGACCATAGCGAATGGCTGTTAATGTATCACCGTCAGAAAAAGGAATAGTCGAACTATAATGTGTCATTCGCGATCAATATCTATAATAGTTGTTCAAGGTAAATGGATTAATTATCCGTATCTAATTTTCTCCTTGAACAAGGATATACGTGCGAGTACGACGAGAAATAAATCTTATATGATAGATCGAAAGCAACTTTTTGATTTGGCTATAATACCTTAAAACCTATACATTCTATTTTTTAATCAGCGTTTAACATCAATGTTTAAAAAACTTTTGTTAGACCTTAGAGTAAGTATCTACATATTTTATTACAGATTAAAACATTCGAGTGTTAATCGGTATACCTACATATTATGTATGCATATTATGTGTAGAACACTTACATAATTTTTAATATTTCTATATTTCCATCTTTTTGTTTCTCGAACAACATTTTCCCTTTTTGCTATAAAATTGTTTAATCCATAGAAAACCTTGAAATGGTTTACAACTTTTTCCTGAGCACTACGTATATTCACGGACGCACGCTTCGCATACGAGTATGTATTCCGATGCATGATTTGTAATACCCCTGAAGCCTATGTTACGCATTTAGCTTAAATCTGCTACTATTTGAGCTTGCCGGTTTAGCAGGTAGTAACCGCATAATCGTTTTGTACCAGTTTCAGAGCGAAATTACATCGAATTATAGTGAGCGCGCGAGCGCGCCCGGAATACTTCGTTCATTTGATTTACGCTATGTTTGAGAAGTAGAATTGACTCAATATATTAATTTTGCAATATTGATTTTGTCAGTAGCCAGCAATAGTAAATATCATTTATACGTTTTAGCTTACCAATTCTTTTACAATTTCATGCTGAATGGCATTAAAGTAAATGTAAAAAGGAATTTACTTATTATCTAATTAATTTCAAAGGAACTCAATAAGGTTTTAATTTGCAAATTAGTTACAAAAAGATTCAAGATTAAATGTTATCAAAATTGAAAAGATACAAGAATATATACATATATGTATGTACATTAAAGACTTTCGATATAAAACTTCTACAAAACATCTTTTGTTATTTTTAAAATACCTTTTTAAGTATCTTGTGAATTTTAATGTCTAAGATATGTATTAGAAATTCCACAAGAAATAATTTTAATGGAACTTACGTATATTGTGCATCCTTTACGTTTATTTGCAGCACATCGTTATTAGTCAATCGTTTGACAGCCGGGAAGCTATCGTGACCATTGACGGTTTCCGCAAACGGCATTTTTAATCAAATAACAAGCTAATAGAATAAGAATCACTTACAATCGAAAAATGACAATTAATAAAACTAAAGAAATAACAAATAAGCAATTAATCGATCAATCCACATATACATATATCGCGCGCTCACGACAAGTGCCTGGCGTGACTTTCGTGAGTCTATTTTATAGAGGAGTTCAAACGCGAGTCAAAAAAAATGTGAGCGCGAATAAGTCTACCAATGATCTTGGACACGCACAAGCGCATCGACCAATCGGCGAACGTACCATCTGTGGCGCACGCGGGTGCTTGCGCAGTACGAGGATAAGAGTAGGGAGGAGTATACGATGATAACCCGTTACAGAACAAGTGGTCCAATTATTGTTATTTGTTTCGACAACGACGTTGACGTCGGCAAAGCGCAAAATCTAGCGCGGCACAATATCAGAATAATATTTCAGTTGACGAACAAACTGATCAAGTTTATCTCGATGAATATATAAACGCGTGCTTGGGGGTATTTTTTTAAATATTGTTAAGTAATACTTAAAGAAATAAAAACACATTTAAAGAGAAATATACAAGATCTACATTAAAATATCCATCTAGCTAAAAATAATAAATCAATCTGTTATAGTTATAATACAAATATATCATAAATTAGTAATTATATATATGTATATTGAGTTTATATAATTCTAAGTTTTACAAATTTAAAATTATTTAGATATGCTATTTATAATATTAAAAATGATAATTAATTTATTTTTTAATTGAATAATAATATAGTAGATATTGATAAATCAACTCAAAAGTAAATGCAGAATTAAAATAAATATTTTTAATTCTGCAAGTTACATATGTTTTTCCATTTATTTCTAAACTAACTAATATTTATTATCTTTGTTTTATTTCTTCTTTCAATTTCTATATCATAAAAGATTTTACAAAAATCCTTCTTTATTAAAAATAATCCAAAGAGCGGATAGAATAAAGAGTAGGTAAAACATAATTCGTAATTTTCTTTCGATCGTCAAGCATTTAATTCGATTACTGGCTCTTGCCAGAGAATATTAAGCATGAATAAGCAGCGAACACAAATAAAAGTATGTAATATTCTCGAGATATTGTTAAATAACTGCTGTGCTTTTGAACGGCGACGCATGCTCCCAAGGATGTGTCTGTCTATTCATATCTTTGGCAAATTTATGGTAGATTAAATCAAATAAAATTATGTTGTTGGAGAGCTGCTCTTCCGCCTTTACTATAAGGAAATGTATTCACTATACTGAAAATAGCCCGAAAAGGAGCTGAATACATGCTAAATAAATTGATATTACCTATCATAATTTTGAATTATCTGTACACACTGTTTACCGCGCCAAAACTCTCATTATTAGCCCTTTTGTTTTGTATTTTATTGGCAAATAAAATTAAATTTTACATCGTCCAATATTACTATATAATTAACTGCCTTAAATCCAAATCTCTATTTATTAGAGGAAAGATCTAGTTTTCTTTTTATTTTTTTTTTTTGTCACGTAATCGTAAACAAACTTTTTTTGTCGGCAAGAATTTTTGACAGGTGATTAAAATTTTCCCAATGAATGTTAGTTACTAACAAAATGTGCTAACAGAATCAATTAGAAAAGTATATAAAATTGTTAATCGGTTCTTATTTAATTAAATTAATAATTTTTGAAATTATTTTCCAAATAAATTATTACTGTCTTCACCAATACTGTAATCTATATTATACCTTAATCTAAAGTCATCTCGCTCGACTAAAGTCATCAAAATGAATATTTTCTTTATTACACTGTAACAATTCAGAGCAGAATTTTCAGAATGTCTTCCTGCATAATCAGCTCTGTTGAGGTATTAGAAGCGAAAACTTTGCATATACCTAATTGGAGCATAAAATCGTTAAGCATAGTGCTGCATTATACAGATAAGATAAGAAAGTGACACGACAAAAATATATGTAAATTATGTTATGATAATACTTATGATATATATCATAGTATTTTCATATATGTATGTATACATACACACATTATGTTTTTTATTTTATACAAAAATAGATAAATAGTAAAGCACGAGATAGTAAAGTAGATAAATAATAAAGCAAGAGATATAGATATTATAGAAAGAAAGAAATAGAAAATTGTTTCAAATTTGTGTAAAGCACAAATTAAGCGACAATAAAGACATTATTAATAAATCAAAATTTTTGAAAAAATGCACTTAAAAGATCCAATAGATAAAAAAATTTTAATTTTTGTCTTTTTAAGTGACTCTTTAACAAGTTTGTTTTTACTAACTTTAATTGATAATAAGATGTTAAATTCAAAATATTGAATCATTATGATAAATAATTTTGTCTTATTAAAAATTATTATTTAAAAAAAGATATTAAACTGTGCTACTGCTGTTCTGATACTTAGAAAAAGAAGAAAAAATCAGAAAAACTTTATTCTAATATTTATTTAATTCAAAAACTTTTTTCTTCTTCCTCTCATAAATTTACAACAAGAAAGTATTTCTGAATATACTATCTAAATTAAGGAGATGCTAAAGTCTTCTTACTTTACCTTCCATCATTTCCATTCGGTGAAAAATCTGCGAATTAGATTTACGGATTGCAAAATCATTATTACAGAATTAAAGTACGCACAAATAGGACCTCAGCTGCATTGGATTTCATGAGAAAACCGGATAAAAGTTAAAAAATTCATTCACTTTTGGCTCGTACAGCTGTCACCTCAGATATATATTTGCTTGATATAAGAGAATTTTATAATCCATATCTTGAAAATAAGCGTGCAGCTGAGGTCATATTACTGAAACGAACGATACCGAGTTTGTAGAACTAAGATTGAAAGTCTAGAAGAAAAGTATTTTCACCGAATAGAAAATACGTGTATACGGATGCTTTGTGAAGACTAGGAATGTCAACAGAGCCGAAATTCCGTGTAGTAGTAGTTGCGCGGTCTTGCGATAGATAGTGCTGACATATATTAGATAAGGACAAATGTATGCGTTTGAGTGAAACAGAACGATATATAATACAATGTAAGAAATGAATTAAAGTCACTATTATCGAATTTGGAATTAAAAAAGTCTGCACTGTCGATCTCGATCAAGTTCGGTAATCGGTTTAGGATCCCCTTAAAGGATTATCTAAAATAATAAAAAAAATCTCTAAAGTTGTATCATTAAAAAGATATTTTAATTATAACAACAAAAATCAATCTTGCTTTATTGTCATGATCTGCGTTACGGTTATCACTTTTCGATTAGTACTCCGATAAATATCGATCACTTTGCAGTCGAAATTGTCAGAAATCCCACTATCTTGCAGGAGATCAGTAACTACTGCCGAAACTGCTGAAATTGCTGTAATTCTCTCAAAATTATCAAACTCACATAAACTCAAAAAATATAGTAAGTTTTTGGAAAATTTAAAGCTTGAAAACTCTACTGTCAAAATTTAATATATTTTTTGAGTTTATTTGAGTTTGATCATTTTTACATATAGAAAACTACCAGCTGAAAAAAATGAAAAAATTTCTTTTCACTTTATAGGTCTATTACGTGCTCCTAAAATAATCGAGAAAATTTTTGACTATCTATCTTGAAAGATTGAAGTTTTTCCTACAAAATCATTTTTTAATAATGTTCCTACGATTTTTTGTTTCTGAGTTACTCGCGGATTAAGTAAAAAGGAGCATTCTTTGATTGCTCATAACTCCATTAAAAATCATTACACCGTAATTAAAAATATAGATTCTTAAAGCTGAAACTTTGCTCTATTAAATCGTATAATCGCTAATTCTTTTTAAATATTTTAGAATATACTCCACTCAACAAAAAATAGGGAACACTTTCGATCACGCTCAAAATTGTGCAATATTCAGAACACCATAACTCGGTGAAAAATCGTCGCAGAAAATTAATCGAAAAAGTATTTTAAAGCTTGAAATCTCTACTTTTCAAATCGGCAATTGATATTTCAATTTGATCGATCGTTCATAGAACTACGCAGATACATATGGATACCCGTCAAATTTGAAAATTTTGATCAAATTTTACAAAGGTCTGTGGCGTGTACTAAAAATTGCACAATAATGTGGTTTACAGCATTCGAAAGAGTGAATCTTTACCTTCAATTTGTTTTTTTATTGATCGTTCTATGATTTTTTTTCACCGAGTTATTGAACGTTGAAGTAAAAATGACATTTTCAAGACCTTTGTAAAATATGATCAAAATTTTCAAATTTGACGGGTATCCATTTGTATCCGCGTAGCTCCATGAACGATCTAAATTTCCTTTTGGCATTTAATTTAAAGTTTAAAAGATCAGATCTTATTTAGGTAATTTGCAAATTGATTAAGTGATCATTATACATATATTTTGTTCATAAACGAATTATCCAAATTTAAAACTCGACGTTTTTATATGACATTATTATTTGGTTTGCACGTAATAAATTTTTAATTTATTATTGAGAGCAATACATAAAATCTGCACGTATTAAATCAATTGAAAAAAAAATGAATGTCATTTATGTTTTAAATTGTTCTATGCGTTTAACTATATTGTTTAAATAATTTTAAAAATCAATTCTTATTTGTGAATTCTAATTTTTGTTTTTTCAACAAACTTAATCGAATCAAGCATTCATGTTATTTAATTAATATAATTCAAAATTGTAGACAGTCGAAGCTAAATCTTTCTTTCTTTTATAGTTTGGAATGTCAATTTTAATAAAACATATTTTTCCTTAGATCACTTGTGTTTCAGAGTTTTGAATTTTTATATTAAAAAGAGTATTTCTCTCATTTTGTTGGCCATATAAATTAATTATAATATTTATGTACAATTTTCTTTATACACTTTGTAAATACTTTCTAAAGATATTAAAGTACATATATATGTAAAAATCATTTAATTTTTGTATACTTACAAAGTGACTTAATCCGGTACACGAAAGACTCATCGTGCAATAAAGGATTGGAAAATCATTGAATGTGTTATGGATAAAAAATGTAATTAAACTATTTATTAATTTATGTAACATTGTTAAAAGAAAACACGCTAGAATAAGT